AGCCAGGAAGGAAATCCACTAAGTAGAATTAGTTTGAAGATAAACAGTAGACTCTCTCTAGTTTACCATCTTCTCACCTAATCTCTACCCTTGCAATTTCTACCTAGTACACTCCTAGATAAGAGACACCTCTCACTCCCCCTCAATCACAGCAGTGATAACAACAAAAATAATAAGACTTTAGAAGACACTCTTCAAAGACACAATCTTGTTCTTGCTTAAAAGCTTCAATCAAGTACAATGTACTCTTGCTTACAAGATTTAAGTGAACAACTTACAATACAAAACTTAGTCCAATTCACACATTAAGTGAATGGCTCACAAACTAACACAAAACACACGAAAGCTAGAACATTAATCCTTATGCAATTGCACAATCTTAAACCTAGCTTCTCTGCTTGAAAACTAGGGTTGCGAATGCTTTAAATAGCAACACTTGGACGGGCTTGGGTTGTGGCAAAAATAACATCTGATCATGAGGAGATCAATCTAAATAATTAGCATCAATGAAACAGATTTGATTTGATCTAATCAGCTCCAATCAAATCACTCTTCAGATCTTAAAGATTTCTTCAGAAAATAGCTCCACCTGAATTTATAACTCTTCCACGATATAAGCAACATAAACGCTCTTGAATAAGAACTAAATCCACGCAAATTTAGCCCATAAAGGACAGATCATAGTAGCCCAAAAAGTTGCACAAAGGAACAGACAAACAAACATATTCTCACATAATGTTTTGTTCACAAACGTCGGGACATCATGCTTGACATCATGAACTAAATCCTACAACAACAAACATAGCAACCTGCAGAATCTTAAAACCATATGTCAAGACATCCTGTAGGACATCTTGTGATTTCACCAAGTTTTACCAAAATTCCTGCCAATCAGGAACTAACAATGTGGCATACTCGTCGATGAATATGAGTTTTGAGCCCTTTTTCAATGTGGTGCAAAGACCATTTCCTACAAGTTGTGGTGGTTAAGTCGAGTGTTCTCCCTTAAGATGATAACTCGTCTTTTCTCCTAGAATCAATCAACAAACCTTTCCCCCTGGAACTTTGACCAACAATTAACGATTCCTCAATCCCTTTTAGGGGAACTACGAATACTCTGATTCCACTCCCGTCAGGATACGTAGGCACAAGATGTGATTTCTTGGCTAGTATACTTAAAAATAAACCCCCTAGGTCTTTCACCCTTAGAAAACAACAATAAAACAATAAAACAAGAGATTCCTGTAGAGTACTACAGATTCTTAGGATGCTAGCACCTTCCCTAAGTTTAACCAACCCCCGGACCTTAGATTCTCTAGCTTTGCATTTGAATTGCATCTTGTGGATAATTCAATCTTTTTCCCTTCCCTTGGAAAAATTAAAGACCAGTGGTGAACAATGAATTAAGATTCAAGTTAATCCAATAATTTGATATCCAATTCTCACTGCGACAGGAGTCGACGGCGACGTGCGATTTAGGCTTCAAAACATAAAACCTATCCTTGAAGGTGCGGGCATAATCCTGATACGCCCGGAATAACAGAGGGAGCGTGGCCCAATACCAAGATGTTTGCATACAAGTTCAAACGCTCGCGCGAATACTATCGCATTAGGGTGAAGTTGTGAAGGCGTCAGGCGGAGCCATTGGAACAATCCCCCCTGAAAATCACTAAAGGGGAGACGAATACCCACGTCCCGAAACACAAACCCATACATTGAGAACCTCATCTCCTTGAACCTCGAGCAGATACGGTGTTTATCCCTAGACTTATAAACCATCCAACTCGATGAAGAACCCTCGACACGGTCCTCGACAGTTGCGAAGGCGTCCGTGTCGTCGGAGGCAAAACGCAACGCGATGTTAAAAGGATCTTATCTGGCCCAATCCTCCGGAGTACAAACTCGTTCAGCTCCAACGCCCTCGACGGGTGTGTCAGACTCAGATTCTTCGTCGATATGAATGACGCCCTCAATCCTTACGACCATTTTACCTGAAAAGCAGAGGAAACAATGAATTCAACTTCCAAGATTAAATCCACCCTTCCACCACAAATCAATTTAAAGGGCGAAGGGAGGTACGAGGAGCCTCTTAACTAATCCTCCCAGACGCAGAGTAGCAGACCCCTCCTCGACGAAGACTCGTCCACGAAGAAGCTCCCTCCGACGCGAGACGGAGAGCCTCCTCGACAGAGAGACTCCTCGCATGAGAAGTCCCCAGTAAACACAGGGAAACACCTCGACAAAAACCTCCTCGCAAGGTTCCCACATGTGTGGGGAGTAAGGCTCACCGGGACCTTCCTCATAGGTCCTCGGGGCCTTCACCGGAAACTTCATGAAGCTTCCAGAATCCTCATGAACTTCCCGACGTCTTGGCCGAAAACTTCATGAGCGTGGTCCGAAACTTTATGAGCTTGGTCGAAAAACTCATAGTTCGGCCGAAAACTTCATGAGCCTGGTCGGAAACTTCATGGAAGTTGTCGGAAAACTCATGCTTTCTCAGTAACCCTATGAGTTCCCCGGAGAAGTCATTGGAAAATCCATAAAAAAGTGAAAAAGGAAATAGAAACTTACTTGAAGGAAAAAGATCTGAGCGACGGAGAAAGGCTGACGGCGTCTGGGGAGCAGAGAGAACTTGGAGAAACTTGAAAGAAGTTCTAACAAAAATGAAGGGGAAGTGAAAATGAAGGAGACTTCCCCCATGTTTATAATCCTAGCACGAGAAGTGAGGCATCACTAGGCACTCAAGTGCCCCTACGCCTTATCTCCATAAGCATTGATTACTCGTGACACGTAGCCTTTGGAGACACCACACGTGTCCTCTCGGCTCCCCCTCATGCCCGAGGACCAGGCGTGCCCGTTTCTTTCCATCTTCGTCACTTAGCCGACCAGAGCTCCCAACGAGGACATGTCCAGGAGAGAAGGAAGAAAATAACTGAGTTTGCGTTTGACAGACAAACCTCCCATCGAACTCTTGTCCGATCGAGCAAGTTACTTGGTCACGCGCTTCGTCACCCAAGCCCAGTGTTTCGGACACGCACGTTCTCCTCTTCACAGGTCCTCGATGCCCGGATTAACTCCTAAGTCATTACTCATCTGCTTCAGAGCAACGACTTAGGGGCTCCCGTTCTGGACTGGACCAGAGGCTGGTCCACCGTCAGGCACGATTCAACCCACTTCCTCGTCGGGGAGGGCCCAATGAAGGCTCAATCCATCAGTGCACAGGGGGAGCTCCCACACGTCTCCCCCACGGACTCCACGTGCCCCCCACACGGGACACGTCATCAGCAACTATCTGCATTCAAAAGAACAGGTCACCCACCTTCCGAAAATCACGGGACAGTTGACTCAGGGCGAAGACCACATGCTGGTCTTCCCTACGCCGCGTAAGCCCTGACAGTTACTCGTGTTGGGCCTCGTGATCCAATCCAATGCAAAGTAACTGTTGGCCCAGCGCTGAGGGCACATTATAAATACCCTCTTTTACTAGAGGATCAGGTATTCTATTCCTTACACACCTTTTCTGTATTTGCTCTCGTTGCTCCGTCTCTTACTTTAACATCAGAGTGCCTTGCAGGTACACTCCCTCCTCTTCTCCACCACCGGTGTATACAGAAGCTCACGACGTGTTACTGATTGCCGATCCTTTTCTGATCCAATAAAATCATTACTAAAGAAATTCTTTTATGACTTGTAAATAAAGAAATTATTTAGCAACCAGTAAGAAAAATTTAATACACAAATATATAGATTTCAAACTCATAAAAAAATCTATATAAATTTTATATCATCTTTAAAAAAACACAACTATCATAATATGGGACTATGCTTTGATATTGTTTTCTTAAAATATCCAAAAATATTTAAGTAGTGAGATATGCATTGGACTTTCTGCAAACGTTTTATATCCTATAGATGTGTATTAATTGAATTCATACGAATATAATATAATACACCAGAGATATTTTCCCAAAACTTTCAACAACAAAAAAAACAAATAACACCATAGACAAACACAAGCCAAGACTACACATAGGCTTAAATAAAAGTTTTCTTAAGAGATCACTAGTTTTAGTTTTAAATAGTTCATAATTGATCACTCTCTTTTCACTATTAGGAATTGGACCCACACGACTCATGCCACTGGTTTATGCAGATGACGTTATTATAATAGGGCCAATGTGGAAATAATTCAAGACAATAAACATGCTACAACATCACGGCTTCAAACTCAAAATGATTAGAGACCACAAATATTTCCTTCTTTGGAGATGATCAAATCTACCTCTGAGAAAACATATCTTCCAATTTCTTGAATCAAATTTCATTCAATCCATTACTAATAGACAATTATTTGAATCCTTTGAAGTTTACATTGTTTCTACAATCTTTTGATGTTATAGCAAAGTAACACTATTTAGCCAACCATCCTAATTGCCACAAGAGATTCTCAAACATATCGCTATTGATTGTGAAGAACACATCAAGTATATCAACTCGGGCTTTATCAAAACTCCCAAGATCAAATGATAGAAACTCTCACTAAAGCCCCCACCAAAGTCTTAATTCCACGCCCCACATCAAGTCAAGAGTACTTGATATATTTATCTCTAAAACTAATGAAGAGTATTACAGTTGTTCAAGTTTTTTGGAAGCTTTCAAAAAAGTTGGTTGGAAGTCGTTTATTCAATTAAAGTCATGTTCCTATTTTCAGAGCACAAACATTTTTTTACTTCTAAACAACCAAAGCATCATTCTATGCAAAAATTCACGTTTTCATCTATACACTTCCGGTGCACAAACATTGTTTACTTCTAAACAACCAAAAAATCATTCTATTCACAAATCCACGTTTTCATCTATCAACTATTTTCAAAGCAGCCTATAAAGTTTCTCATTAAAAGCCCTAAACTGCAAAATGAGGTAAAAGGTGTCATCACAAGTGAGTTACTGCTATCTACACTCACACTAGTTCATTGGAACATTAGCCCAGATCAAAATTGTCAGTCTTCCTGTTGAGTCCATATCCTGACAGTTGTATCATTGCCGATAGATCCCGAAGCAATCATGTTCTCCGTCGGGTGACACGAGACAGCTATGACTGTATCTGTATGACCTTCCATCTTCTGTACCATTCTCCTCGACTGCTGATCCCACAAGTATATACAGTTATTTTCCGAACCACTAACAATATACTCCCCATTTGTTGTAGAAAATGAGGACGAAATACTGAATTTTGAATTAACATGACCACGGTAAGATTTCACAACCATCTCATCAGAATGGTTCCAAAGCCTCTGCAGGGACAAAGAAATGCCCATGTAAGTCAATTGTAACATGGAAAACCAAACTAAGTACTTGTTTGCCAATCCAATAAACAAAACACTATGAGAAGTGGGAATGAAAATCCATCACATAAGTCAGATAAAAAGCCATTACACAAATATAAAACATAATATTGCACAAAGAATAGACCGCAGTGAAGAAACCCAACAGCATAGATGGAGTTACATAATTCATTCAGCTTCTAAAATGAGTAAAGTGAAAAGTGAGAAAATTAAGGGTCGTTATTTTTACAAACTTGTAGCTTGTTATGATGTACCTAAAAAAATCTACCCTTGATTTGCAAATCAATGATCGACATTACTCACTTTACTCATTAAAGTGAGTTGCTCATTTTGGAGGAACCGGATCCACTATGTAGCCAAGGTACACAGATGAATTTTATTTTCAAATAAAAATGTACTAATTTTCTACCTACAGTTTTTAAAGTATAATATTAGACTGCAATTGGACTCATATCAACCATATTTGACTGCAAAACTCTATTCAATTGGACTCATGTCAACCATATTTGACTGCAACTTTCTATTCAATTGGACTCATATCAACCATATTTGACTGCAACTTTCAATTCAATTGGACTCATATCAACAATATTTGAATGCAACATTCTTCAATTAGGCTCATATCAACTATATTTGACTACAGCATTCTATTCAATTGGACTCATATCAACTATATTTGACTACAACATTCAATTCAATTAGAGCCATATCAACTATACTATATTGGGCTGCAACTCTCTATTCATATCAGCCATATTTGAGCGCAATTCTACAGTCAATTTGAGTCATATCAACTACATTTGACTGCAATTCTCTTATCAATTGAACTCATATCAACTACATTTGATATCTCTATCATTTTATCGAACAAATCATAATGCTACTGCAATTTAAGATGAATAACAAAATCGAAATTCAGTTAATGAGCAAGAAGTGAAATATTACCAAAGTGTTATCCAAGGTAGCAACAAGAACCATCTCAGAATTGGGTGAAAACTTGACATATGTAACAGGAGGAATCTCATCCTCATCATGAACGAGAGTCTTCATACAGTGACCGGTAGAAACATCCCAAAGCCTGCAAAGACCATCATAGCCACCAGAAACCATGACAGTCCCATCGCCATTAAAATCAACCGCACTAACAGGTTTAGAATGTGCATGAATATTATTATAACATTTCCCAGACCTAACATCCCACATCCTGATACTCTCATCAAACGATGCCGAAGCGATGATATTCGAATGAGAATGGAAATTAACGGAGAAGACGAAGCTACGATGGCCAAGAAAAGTCTTGAGTAGCGACCCCGTCGAAACGTCCCATAGCTGGACGGTTTTGTCGTCGGAGGAGGAGGCGAGGAAACGAGAGTCGGAAGAGAAATCGATGTCGCAAACGCCGAGTCGGTGACCTTCGTATTGTTCCACGAGAGATAGGGTAAGGCGGTTGGAATCGGAATCGGATTCGGAGTTGGTGACGGCGTAAATGCCGATGATGCTGTCGGCGGAAGAGGAGGCAAGAAGACGGCCGTTGGGGGAGAATTTGACGGCGGTGATTGGAAGTTGGTGAGTGGTTAGGGTTTGTGAGAGTGCGTAGCGTTTGTAGCGTTTGTAGCTCGATGATGATGTAGCCATTGCAATTCAGTTTCTTGTATCGATTAGAATTCAGTTCTTGAAATTGAGTTTGTTAGATGAAAGAGTGACAAGAGAGGTGATTTGTATTATATACAAGAATGTAATGCGATGAGTTTTTCTTTATCAAACTCGATTGATTCATTGATTAACAATGCAATGCGAAGTTCTTTTTTTCTTTAACAATGGAATGGGAGGACTTTTTTTATTTTTTTATTTTATTTTTATTTTTAAATTTTTATATTCTTCTCCATTCTCTGTAAACTCATCAAGTTTCTATAAATATATATTATGTTATGTTTAAATTTTAGAATTCAATATGTTTTTATGTTTTTATGTGTTCGCATTTTAAAATTTAAATATTCCTTACATGTCACATCACATCTCCATAATAAAAAATAACTTAAAATCTTTTAAGTATAATTGCAACTTTCCTCTCTCTAATTTGAATTTATTTGGATTTTAATCCCTCATTCTAAACACTATTATTTCAATTTCTATAATATGTTTTGAATTTAATTTTAGTCTTCTCTCAAGTCTTTAATTTTTTTTAATAATGTGGCAATACCATGTCATATTAAAATAAATCTTTTTTTTTACCAAAATAGTTCACATATTATGTTTGTTCATTTAAAATTAAATTATTTCTTTAAGTTTAACATTAATTTAAAATATCTATTAAATTTCATTTATTTATTAAAAATTAGAATAATCAAAACGTTTCAGTGATTCACTTCTTCTCTCATAGTTACGAAGACATGAACATGAACTCTCTTCCCCTCTCACTTACAAACATGAACCCTAAGAACATAATTTGAAATCGTCATTCTAAATCAAATTATTTTTTGAAGTCGTCGTTCCAAATCAACTCGTGTTGATCGCTTTAGGTAGTTCATCTCTGAAATGGCAAACTTCGCTTACGTTTCGAGGTATGTACCATGTAACACCCTTATTCTATCCCACAGATATTACGGCAAAATAACACGGATTTCAGAGTAAAATATTAACTTTCATTAAAAAGCCACAAAAGGACGTACATTTCTCAAAGTCAACAAAATTGGTCAATACTCCGTAACGCACGGGTTTTCTCAAAATATATCAAAACATCATATACAGCGGAACTCAAACATAACTCAATATTTTCTTCATAAGGGAACATCAGTAAAATAACCCAATGATATACAATCAACTCAAAGAACCCAACCCGATGTTACATATCAGAGCAAGACACTATAAATTAACCATAAAGGCTAACGACTCTAAAACTTCAAAATACTCTTCGACGGCGTCCACGGCTAAACTTGCTCATCTGCACGTTACCCACGTTGAGGTAACATTCAAACAGGCAGGGTGAGTAAGACAATTCATAATAATCAATGTATAACAATTAATGCGGCATATTACTCATAGTTATATTCAACACATTGATATTCTTCAATTATGCCTCAAAAGCCACAATGTTATAATTATACATAAAGGCTCATAAATGCAAAGGCAACATAGACTCAATGCATGTGGTACCAATCATCACAGCTCGATGGACACTAGGTCATCAACCCTCCATAGATCCCCATCAATAGGATCGGAGTACATCAAAATACTTCACATCCACACAGCGGGATTGAAGTCAAAGTAATCGAGGTCCTGAACCGAAGTCCGGATGCACATGAATGCATGATGCACACTTCACAATAATCCTCATAATAACAGCATATGGTGCATCATCATTCATCATATTCATCATATTCATCATCATTACACGTCATATCTCATCGTCATATTCATCATCATAAATCATGCCATCATAGCTCATCGTAATAATCATCATCATACATCATGTTATCATAATTCATCATATTATTCATCATACAACATATCATCATAACTCATCGTAAAATATTAACTTTCATTAAAAAGCCACAAAAGGGCGTACATTTCTCAAAGTCAACAAAATTGGTCAATACTCTGTAACACACGGGTTTTCTCAAAATATATCAAAACATCATATACAGCGAAACTCAAACATAACTCAATATTTTTCTCATAAGGGAACATCAGTAAAATAACCCAATGATATACAATCAACTCAAAGAACCCAACCCGATGTTACATATCAGAGCAAGACCCTCTAAATTAACCATAAAGGCTAACGACTCTAAAACTTCAAAATACTCCTCGACGGCGTCCACGGCTAAACTTGCTCATTTGCACGTTACCCATGTGGAGGTAACATTCAAACAGGCAGGGTGAGTAAGACAATTCATAATAATCAATGTATAACAATTAATGCGGTATATTACTCATAGTTATATTCAACACATTGATATTCTTCAATTATGCTTCAAAGGCCACAATGTCATAATTATACACAAAGGCTCATAAATGCAAATGCAACATAGACTCAATGCATGTGGTACCAATCATCACAGCTCGATGGACACTAGGTCATCAACCCTCCATAGATCCCCATCAATAGGATCGGAGCACATCAAAATACTTCACATCCACACAGTGGGATTGAAGTCAAAGTAATCGAGGTCCTGAACCGAAGTCCGGATGCACATGAATGCATGATGCACACTTCACAATAATCCTCATAATAACAGCATATGGTGCATCATCATTCATCATATTCATCATCATTACACGTCATATCTCATCGTCATATGCATCATCATAAATCATGTCATCATAGTTAATCGTAACAATCATCATCATACATCATGTTATCATAATTCATCATATTATTCATCATACAACATATCATCATAGTCCATCATATTAATTAATCTCACACATCATGTCATCATATAATCTCGTATAAGTCACATATTAGCTCATAGTCATTTTATCCCATATTACCCCATATTAATTTATAGTACTATCCTCATATCATCTCATATTAATTTATCAAGTTATACTCACGGTAATCCCCACACTATCGCCTATCAATCACATAAACTTCACGGTTCTACTCATGTTGGTTCATCATATTATCACAGTTACCCTCATGGTAATTCATCAGGAAAATCGCAACATCAAAACATCAAGACATCCTTGAACCAGAATATGATTCATTAATAGAACATATACACAACTGACTTCTCAAACATAATTAGATATAAAAATATTGGGAAAACAATTCCCTTATCTATAATATGTTATAGCTCTGTTTATTAGCTTTCCAACGCTTCGAACGGGGGTCAAAACGGGCTTACGGATCAAACGTTACGTCCAAAACAATTTCGACCAAAAACATGAACTGTCGTGACGAATAGAAAGGCGCTGTTACGCTCCAGAACTGATTTTTACTCAATTATTCTTACGAATCACTCACTCAACGTACCCAAAACATCACTAAAACATTCCTAAGGTTATACGGCAATAACAACACAACTTTTATGGTTTATTAGGCTCTTCTGGCAACATTTGCAACGCCTAAAACACTATTTCCTGCAATTACTCTGAGTACTTCAGAGTTACTCACATATGAACATTCCTATTCCTACAGGGTCAAACATATCACAATCCAAGGTTTTGGCCACGAAGACAAAAATCATTATTTCTCATCTCTAAACACTCAAAGGGTCAAGAATACTAACCACTAACCTCCAGGGTCTATAGTCAATTTCCTTAGCATTGCTCCGAAGATATTGTAATTTCAAATATCAAATATTCTATCCCATATGGGCAGATATAACGATCTAAGGTTTTGGCCACAAAGGCCTAAGGTTTCCTTTCTCATATTAATATTCAGTGGTACATACTATTAACCATAACCTCAAAGCCTTATCATCAAATTCCCTATTTTCCCATAATCAACCCAAAATACCTTAAATCACAAACCAACCATAAACACATCTAAAGGCATACATAGAAAATTATGAAAAACCATACTCCCCATACCTTAGTCGATTCACAACTTTCACGATTAATCTTTGGGATCTTCTGCTTCCAGTCTTTCCTTCAGAGCTTTGGCCACCATATTTTCACGGTTAACACAAATGAATTCTAATTTCCCTTCAGAACTCAAATTTGTCCCACTTAGACTTGGGTCTCCCAATTTGGGCTTTTCCCATAATATCCTTACTAACTCCTCCAAATGCTCAATTTACCCTTATTTCACATATATTTATTTTAATTAATAATAATAATAATATATTCATATTATATACTATTATTCCAAAATAAATAACTCAATTCCATTAAATTCTCCATAATTCACAAAACCACCAAAAATCATCGAAAAATGAATATTCTTAATTAAATAAATTAATTAAAATATTTCGATTAAATTTGGGGTGTTACAACTCTCCCCCACTTAAAAGAATTTTCGCCCTCGAAAATTGCCTCAAGGAACAGAGTCGGATACAACTCCCTCAACTGATCTCCAAGTTCCAATTCCAACTTTCTCCAACTGGTCCTCCCAAACTACCTTCACCAAAGGAATCTCTTTACCTCGAAGTTGCTTCTTGTTCATCCACCTTAACTAGCAACGCCTCGACAGTCAAATTACCTCTCACTTGTACACCATCCATCCGAATAAATGTACTTCTTCAACTTAGGCACATGCTACATCATGTGAATTCACAAGCGACAGCGGTAAAACATTCTAACATGCTACCTCTCCCATACTTCCGATGTGTCACTTCCGATACAAATCAACAAAACACAGTGTGTGCTTCCGAGACTTCAAAGCTCGAACAACACCAATCACCATCGTAACTCTTAAAACACGTCTTTTCTTAGATCTTCTTGATCTTTTCAGTAGTCTCTTACACAATTCTCAGGTCCGAGCACAACACTCTCGCCTGAATCATATCAACACAAAGGAGTCCTACACCTTCTACCCTACAATTCCCCATACGGTGTCATTCCGATACTAGAATGCTAATTGTAATTGCAGGTAAACTCGACCTTTGGCAAATAACTATCCCACGATCCACCTCGATCCAACACACAAGCTCCCAGCAAATCCTCTATAGACTGGATAGTTCTCTCTG